CCCATGTGACTGTCCAAGTTCATTAGTGTTTCAGTGCACACAGAAACCCACACACACGTGCCGGCTTCTCGTGACCCGATGCGACCGCTCAGTGAAAGTTAATCACCAATTATGCGCACAATTGTTAAATTTACAGTTGACTACCTAAGGGAAAGTTCTTCTCTGCTTCCATTTCTCGAGTTTCATTAAACTAGGCTAACGTATAACATGTTGCTTTTGAGTTGCAGCTGAGCTTTGTGAAGTGTCACCGTGGTTTCAGTTTACCTCAGGCTAGCCCACAGCCTGGGCGTGCGGGGGCGGCGGAGCTCGGTGTTGTTGCTCGAGCGCATGCGAACATCACCTTCTATCAGCACTGGCCACGGTCGCCTTAATGTGTCCAAACCAATCTGGGATATGAATGAATAGTATGCATGCCTCTGACATCATGGAGTTTCCACTGCTGTGCTCGGCTCACCTCAGAGATAGCAGCTTTGATATTTCACACCACTGGCTCGCTTGCAGGGGTTCCCCACCCACCACCCCTCCTTACCATAGATGGACTCTGGAGAGATGCTGTTTTTGTGGATGGCAGTAATCTTAAAGCTCAAAGGTCAAATACCCAACTGCCTGTAAACAAGTTGCATATACATTACATATATATATTATAAAAGAGCCATATATTTTTGTTTTAAAACAGGCTCTAAATTTGAGTCTGAATCCATGTTGTTGCAGCATTTGCATTGGGAAAAAATTCTTTTGAGACTTTTTGTAATCAACAAGGTTTAGATTTACCAGTGCACGTTCTGCTGTAACAGCATTATGTGCAGGTTTGCGATAAATGAGGTGCACACCTGTGTAGAAACCTGTGGAAAATAACAGAACTGTTGCCAGGTGTTAATCATGCTTGTAGTCTGGTTCAGAAATGTTATTCCTGGCACTTTTTTCATTTTTGGAAAGCCAACTGTGTACAAGCAGAGGAATTCAGTGTTATTCCAGTGGATTACCTCTGAGGTTTCCTTTCCTGTGGTGTATCTCCACAGCTGTCCAAGTCACGTGTTATGTTGTTTATTGAATATCAAAGGCTTTGTGAAGTCAAACAGGTGACCTGATACCATTGTTGTCTGATAGAAGGAACCACCTCCATGTTTGGGCAACATTTCTCTCAGTGCTGGCAGCTCGTTTACTTCCTGTCTTATTTAAAAAAAAAACACACACACACACAAACTTGTTTGTGTTGGATTACAGTTTATAAATGGATGCAGAAAAGCAAACAGTGGATGCACTTGAAGCAACAAACTGTTTATATATGTTGCAAACAGATGACTGTTGTACGCCACTGTTTGTTTTTGTATTTTGGATGGAATGGCATGAAACATTTTAAGTGCGGGAGGACTCAGATTTTCCATCACACACATGCACACACAGGAGGAGGTGAAATGACACCTCTAACTTTAGTCTCCCAGCCCGCCACTCTGAATAATCCAGTTAGGATGTACTCTCTGGCTATCAGGAGGTTTTAGCTGCCTCGCTTCCAGCCAGAGGAAAAACAGACTTCAGGCTGTAGACTGACCTAAACTGGCCTGATGTCCTAAATGAACCTTTGTCACATAAACACACATAGTACATGCACTCGCTAACCCCACCAACATCCTAATCTACTATTTCTTAACATTTTCAGGCTTGCCACCCACATCAAGAGAGCCATCATACTTTTTTTTTTAATGAATGATTCTGCAGTAAGAAGGATTTGAGATGTTTTGTGAAATAAAGTTCTGCAATGTGTTCTTTTAATATTTGCATTTATTAATATGAGAACCAACAGCCTGAGCTTTAGTTCAAGCCCGTAACTTTAAATGGTTTATTTACAGCCTCCCTACACACGGAATATAATAAAGTGGCAGTAATCCAGTCAGATTTCTCTTCTTTGGCTGTGTGTCTGCAGGCAGATCGAAGAGTCTGTGTGTTTGTGTAAAGGTCGGAGGTTGCAGGGGGTACCGGCTGATGTCACGGACCCAAAAAGAAAGTAGTGTCTTTGATGACAGCCTGGTAACTATAAATGTCGTGACAACCCCTAGGAATGAGCCGTCATGTGACACCCCATCTTTGGAGCCAAGTGCATGGAAAAAGAAAACATGCACACACGGCTTTGCCTTTGGGGAGACCCCTTTGGAAACAATGTCTGGCTTGCTTGAGGATTTGAGAGGGTGAGCAGAAGTGATTTGATCTACTCAGTAAAACACCAAATGCGGGCATGAAGCGAGGCTTTGTTTTTACTGCATAGTTATTGTGAAATTAGCCGTAATGTTTCCCAAATGTTGAAGCCACTTTTGTTTGTGCCTTCTCCGGCTATGTTTTTTATCAGGTTGCTTTTCTTCATGTAGTCTGTTTTCCAAAGTTGTTGCCTGTTGCTCTTGGCAGAGGCAAAGGGAGATTAAACTTATCTAAAATAACCTGTTGAGGCTGCGTAATTCAACTCTGGCACCTCCTCTCTTATTCCAGTCATCCATAAAGAAAGTGTTCAACTATTTGACTCTGACCAGCGGCGTTGACATATTTTCCTCCCTCGTCCTGAAGCCAACTTCTCGGGGAGAGCCATCAGGGACTACATGGTTCCAGCTCTCTGATATCTGGAACACACACTCTCACGTCTTTCCCTGTGAATGCACACTGATCACAGGTCAGGTCTTTGGCAGTAGTTTCCAATCAGGGGTGCAAGTACTTCAGGGCTACTAAGGCAATAGTCAGGCAGCAAGAATAGCTCAACTGGTAGAATGAATTTATTATTAGTACTGAGAAAACTGACTAAAACAGAACAAGCCTTGCAAGAACAAGCTTCTGGACTTTCACCGGGCCATTATATTGACAACACTGATTATTTTCTTTTTTTGCCATTCTGTTGTAGATTTGCTCCTGTTGCATGACCCAGTTTTGACCGAGCTGTCCCAGCTGTCAGACAGACAGCGTCACATTAGACTCTAGAATACTTTGGTATACAGAGGTCTTTATGGGCAACAACTCAATGATTTCAAGGTGCAGTGGCTGCAAATTGTCACCCCTCCACCACTTGGTTTTAGGCGTTTGTGCTGAAATGCTTGTGCTCCACTTTGGTCCAAAGGTCATTGTTCCAGAAATCTTGTGGTTTTGTTCAGACCCAACTTTGTAAACCTGTCTTGTTCTTTTTAGACAGAAGAGGCTTTCTATCCGGGACCCTTCCAAACAAGCCATATTTGTTCAGTCTTTTTCTAATTGTGTTGTTACAAACGTTAACATGCTAACTGAGAGCTCCACGGAGTGAGATGTAGCTTTTGTTTTCTCAGTTTCTCTGAACATTTCACGATCTGACCTTGGGACGAATTTGGTGGGACGTCCTCTCCTGGGAACACTCGCAGCTGTCTTGAATGTTTCCCACTTGCGAATAGTGTTTCTCACTTTATAACCCTTCCCATATTGATGGGCAGCAACAGTTGCTACTCCAAGTTTATTGCTGACGTCTTTCATCCTTGGCATTGTGTTAACACTTACCTGAGTGCAGCCGGTGCTTTCACAGGCTGATGGACAATTAACCAAGTACCCACTTAATTCCTGTGGAAGCAGTACTGATGTAGTTATTTTTTCACCCATTGCTTCGGCGTTAAACAAATAATGCCATGATGTAATATGTCATGTGATTTTGTAGTGTTGAAATTTTATTTGCCTAATTTTAGGGCCTACTTATATCCTGATATTCAAAACCTAAATTGAAAGAGCGTGGACTTTATTACTAAGCAGCAGGACAAGTCTTCTGTTAAAACTTTTAATCACAACTGAATCATATTTTTTAGTCCATCTTACAGCGCTGAGGGGGACATGAGATGAAAAAGTTTGGGTACTGCTGATTTATATGAGTTTAGCACTTTATTTGGTGCAGGAATTTTCTTTCATTCCTGGGATTTAATGTAATTCAGTATAATATTCTTGCTATTTCAATTCTGACTTTATTGCCTTGTGTTTCACATCTTCTGTCTTCATGTTGTTTGTGGCTGTCAGTGTGTGAAAATGAATTCCAGCTACAAATATACAACATCTGCACATGTACTGCACACATACACACCGAAATAAATGGCAAATGTGTTTTTAGTGTGAGGCTGCAGACACTTGCACACACACTCAGACACACATGGGGTTTTTTCAGGCTGGTAATTAGTAGAAGCAGTAAGGTGATAACAAGCGCCAGCCACACGTTTGCAACCGAGGTGTCGATGCCAACATGCTGCTGGATATCACAGCCCCGCACTTTATCACACTTTCCTCCCTCCCCAGACGGATAACTCTTAAATACAGATGCATGCTCATGCGTGCTTTAAAAAGTGCAAGAAAATATGATCATGCTTGACACATCTTCAGCTTTACAGCAAACAGAACATGTGCATCAACATGGTGTATGTCCCCCACAAGTCCTCCTCCTACTCTTTTCTTTCCCTCCTTTCCTATCATCTCCACCCACTGCTCCTCCTCCGACTGCATGATTTGAGTCATATGATTCAAAAAGGTGAGAATCTACATTCAGCAGATTCTTTTCATCTTGTTACCCTTACATTTCTTTTGTCCTCTTTCTTTGGATGCTCGGGTTTCGTGCACGTGGTGCTTGGTGACAAAGTTGAACCCTTGTAGCTGGCGATGATCTCATGAGTCTGACATCACTTCAGCATAAGCTGCACCCTCTGAGCGCACATTTACATGACCGCCCTGAAGTGTGAGGTTTCATACTAAATAAGTTTGATGAAACAGAGACTTTGTGTGTGTCTCTTGTGCTGTGCCTTGGAAGGCTTTATGTAATTACATTATGCTATAGTGATCATGTGATTGTATAACTGCAACTTGAAAAATATATGGGTCATTTGAAACATCGGATTCGGACTTATCCTTTTATGTTCCCTTCTCCCCCGTGCCATCATCTCTCCCCTCCTGACCTTTCATCTCTCATATGTGTCTTGCACTTTTCACCTGGCACTGGCTCACTTTGTTTTATTGCTCTTCCACAGGTTGCGGAAACAGCAGTATGAGTGGTGACATGTACAGCGCCGGCTATCATACTATTGCCAACATAGATTATTCATCTGTGTGCATCAGGACAATGAGCGCCAGGTACAGTCACTGCCCAGGTATGACATGGCATCAGATGGACGTGCGTCAGCTCTCCTTCCCGGATTCCTCCTTTGATGTCATACTAGAGAAGGCCACCCTGGATGCCATCATGGTGAATGAGAAAACGCCTTGGGAGGTTTCATCTCAAACTGCTTGTTCCATTCACCAAGCACTCACAGAGGTATTTTTGAAAAACTTTTCCTTCCAGAGGTTCGATATTTTGTGGGTTGAGGTTCTCTTGTTACGTCGGATTACTCACCAAAAATGTTTCTGCTTTCTGTTTGTGGGAACCTGAGAGTTTTTGTGAAAGCACATTTGTTTTCCCACCTGGTGCCTACTGAGAACTCACTACCACTCACCACTGCAGCACTAGTTTATGGTACAGTCCAACCATCACGTGGTAATTTGCTTTCAGTTACAGCAGGTTTTTTTCAAACTTTAGAAAACATGATAACAGGAACAAAACAAGGATCTGTAAATGAAAACCATCAACATACTCAGATTTTTCAGATAATTTACAGATTTATTTACAGTTGTAAACAATAACCCATCAGCCTTTTACTGCTGATGGGTTATTGATGGGTGCAATTCAAACCAGAGACGCAAATCCCTTTTGAGGTTAAGTCAGGAAGGGCATCCTGGTTTAAAACTGCCAAATCAGACACATGGAGCTACCCACAGTGGTAATCAATTGTGACAAGGAAGCAGCATTCATTCATTCATTCATTCATTCATTCGAAATATCATGGTTTCAGAAAAATCATCAATTTGAAACAATGTATGTTTTCTGTAAGTTAATTAAGGTCAAAATATTATCATTAGTAGTATTAATGTTGACATTTGTAGCTGATGCATGGCAAAGTTAAAAAATCAAATGTAAATACGTCTAAACTGTATATTTGTCCGTTTTTACAGAGCTGTCCTTTGCCTGTTTTGCAGGCCACTAGTGTCGCTACACACCTATGATGGTTTGAGAGCTGTTTTACGGCGAGCAGCAGTACGGTTTATTTGTAAATGACTTTCTGACAGTGAAATTAGTGGCACTTTACATTTCCACTCCACAGCCCATCAGCGTAGTGGCAAGAAGCTGAGTGCCCTTCAGCTGCTCGCCTAAGCACTAACTGCCACTGTGTCAATGTGACAATGACAATGTTTTGGTCATTTGCTGTGCTTGACCTTCGCATATTAAGACAAGAGAGCTCCACTATTAACTGAAGTAGGAAACTTGTGATTTCTGAATGGGGAAGAATTACTCATGATGTACTTACTGAGCATTTGAAGAACGGCTAAGTAAGGTATAATTCATTATTTATATTAAAATGACAGGTGTATAGAGTCTTACGTCTAACACACAGCCTATAATTACAGTAAATGTTACAGTGGAAAAGGTCACAGAGTGTGACTCATTTTAATGGAAGCAGCTTGAGAGCACTAAGTAAAAGTGATGTTAATGCAGATTTGAAACATTTGCATTTTCTTGTGCAAAACCTTAAAATTACACACAAATCAACAATTTATAAATGAAAGTATTATGAAGCTTTTCCGGTGACTATTACCATTAATATTTGCAGTTAATATCAGGGTCATACGTAGGCTGCTGATTTGAATTAAGCAACAATAAACGATAACTATTTTGACCGACATTAGAGTCATGTAGATTTACGTTTTGTAAACTATGATTATTTTACTGGACATAAATCAAATATCTAAGATTAAATGTAAACTCAAGAGTGACTCAGAATGAACTCTATATTACTGTCTGTAGGTGTGAATGTTAAAAAACCAAGTGAGACAACATGGACGCAGGTGACCTCATCACACAGCCACAACCCTTCATGCTCGCTGTTATACCTCCTGAACGATAGCTGCAGCTGCTCAGACAATGCCTCCACATTGCACTGGTACAAAAGGTGAAAGCGTCAAAACCAGAAGCAAAGAAATAGCTTTTTTCCTGACATATCATTAAAATAGCTGTAAAAACCAACACAGTTGAACAATCGTGTCTTCCACTCTGTTCCAACGGCGCGGCACACCGGGTTTACAAAACTCGAGAGGTGCACAGCATCCAGTAATGGCGGCTTGTAAAAGCGGCTGTGATGTCAGTTTCATCTCAGCTTTGTCGTACAGTGCCGTTTGCATCAGTGATGCTCTACTGTAAAACAATTCAACAACTCCAAAAGTAGCCAAACATTCGAGAGCTTTGCCATGTTGTGTTATGTGATTACTTGCAGCCCGAGTTACAATATGTGCTTAAATGAATTCATTTGAACTTGAAGTTTTTCTCCTAATCATCCATCCTAATAGTTACAGCAACAAGTGAGTGAAGTGCTTTAAATGATACACCAAGAAGAAATGTTATTAGATTAGAAGTATTTAAATGTCAGTTTTTTCAAGTTATCCCAATTTTTAATGCTTAAAGCTTAACCGAGGACAACCCTGACTTGTGAAGTAAACAAGGATATAGACAGTGCTGTCTGTGGGCCCAGTTTGTAGGGACGGTGCCTTGGGTGTTTTCCTCTAACAGAAGGAAGTATTAAAGAAGGATCAGTGAGTGTGATTGGTGGACAGATGGGAGGATTTGAATTCGCCTGTTTAAAAGCCATTTCAATAAGAAGCTCAAGTTCCCAAGCACCCTTTCTCCTTTAATTTTTCTCAGCTGCCTCATGCTCGTGGCTATCCCTCTGCTTCATGTTGGTTTACATGTATCTTTATGAACTTCTCTGTGATCACAAGTACACAGCAGTGTTTTTGTCTTCAGCACTAGTGTACGTTTGCCGTCTCACTCTGGCTTTTATGGGCACAGACAGTCACGATTCTTGTTTATGTGTGAGCGTGTGTTTAGCAGGAATGTGGGTGGCGGCTTCAGAGCCTACTTTCAATTCTTACAGAAAGCATTTTCACAAAGCGGAAAAAGGGGACAGACGGAGGGAGACGCGAGCGAGAAAGAAAGGTGAGAAAGAAAAGAGGGAAGGTGAGAAAATGGTGAGCATAGGAGAGAGTGATGAAAATGAAGGAGATCCCTGAAGAAACTTTTGTTGAAATCACAGAAGAAAAGAAGAATTGGTGGTGGGGAGGGTGGGGGGAGTGGATGACAGCAGAGGAGAAAGGAATTGAGAGAGGGAGAAAAAGAGAAGGAGTGGGAGACAGAAACCAAGACTGACAGAAAGCTAATGAGCAGTGCGCCAGTGTGAGACGGATGAGAAGAAGGTAGCAAAGGAGAGGGAGAAGCTGAGGGGAGGGGAGGAAGAACAGTGCAGAACACTTTAATCTAAAGCCTGCTTTGAAAGAGATTCCCAAAGATTAATCGTGTTGAGTTAAAAAATAAAGAAATATACCAGAGAAAATTGGTGAATCATGTCACTTTACACCAGCGGATTGTTATTTCTCATTAGTATGAGAACAGATCGTATAAACACAAGGCTGAGTGTACAAAAGTTGAGGCAAAGTGCATATTTTGTTAATTATTTCAATAGTTTCTGTGTAACATCCAGAAAACTGGTCATGGACAGCCATCAGCCTCGTCGTGTGTGTGCTTGCACTTTGCGTGAGACCTAGCCCTGGCCAAACATTGATAAGCCAGACACAAGACTGTGTGACACGGAGTTATTAAATTCAGTTTTATTTACGTTTTATCTACGAAATCACAACAAAAGTTGCCTCAATGTGCTTTATATTGTAATTTAAAGACCCTACAGTAATACAAATAAAAATGGGACCTCCTTCGGGCAAGAGCTTTGGCGACAGTGGGAAGGAAAAACCCCTTTTTAACAGGAAGAAAACTCAGTGAGAAGGACGCTCAGGGAGGGGTGGCCATCTGCCGTGACCAGTCAGGGGTGAGAGGAGTAAGTTTGGCGCTGTTAGCTCACTGGCCAGCTTAGATAAATTTTTAGCTGCTCATCGTAGTAAATAGCTGGTTAGCCCAAATCTGCTTCTTACTCAGTGTTGACACTGAGAAAGTCCTGTTTAAAGCATGTGCATGACTTCATATTTTTAGTAATTAATGCACTCAATTTCTAAGCAGTGCTATTTAGTTCTGCTTAGAGGTCCATTACACTCGCTGTGTTGGTTGTTTTATGCAAACAGTGGCATCTCAACAGCTCTGTACTGTTTATACCAGGGATGAGTACTCGCTATTCTCCTAAATAAAAGATGTCGCCACTTAGATAAAACTTCCACATCACCAGAAGCAAAACTATCATACATTTCTTTCGAAGTTCTTTCCAGAAAGCCTCGTCTTTTCAGTCTATATGATCTCTGAATCTCTGAACTTCTCTGCAGTTATCATTAAAATGGCAGTAAAAACTGACATGATCGTACGCTCATGTAATTGACTTGGCTGTGGGGGCAGCAACAGCACCCTGTGTGACGTTATAAGCCAAAAACATGAAAGCGTACTGTAGCTTGCACCAGGGGATTTGATGTCAGTTTTGAAGTGCAGTGTGAGTATAGTGGGCCCATTGTTGTTGGCGTTAAAGGAAAACAAAGAAGAGGTTTAGCTGCAAGTGCATGTTGGTGAGCATGAAGATCACATCCTTTGGATTTTCATGGAAAATTTGTCCCAAATAGTTTTTATGTTTTGTTTTTGTGTTTTTAAGTCAGTGCATATCCTGTTAGAAGATTAGTGGAGGTTACATTAAAATGGTTTCAAAAAGCTTTATGCAACAAAAAGAATCCCTGAAGGTCAAAAAATACCTGAAAGGCTTGCAGAGAGATTAAATACATTAATATTCTGTAATTGAATGTCCAGTTACATTTTACATTTTAACATTAAAATATATAACTCTTCTACTGGTACATGTAGAATTTGACTCTTTTACCAAAATCAGAGATCAACTCTTCACGTTAGAAATTGGCCATCCATCCATTAATGTTCCTAACGACTCATCCAGCCAGAGTAACGGGTTATAGGCAGTTTATCTTAGCTGACAGGCTGCCTGTGTGTCATGAGGCTAAGGTGGAGACTCCGTCAACCTTTCATGGTCACATAAGTACCTAATGTCAAGTTAATCTCACACACTTGTCTGTGGACTATGGGAGGAAACCCCAACGAAAAGGTCCAAG